ATGGCCTCCTGCAGTACTCCAGATGTGCCATTTTGGGCCTGGAAGATCTCCTGGACCACTCCGGAGTTGTTGTGGGGGGTGGAGGGTGTACCCCCCACCTGCACCCCACTTTTGCTAACAGAGACACCACGGGCAGGTACTTTGCGATTTCCAGACTGGCCCCGTGGGCCAGATCTGTCCTCGGGCTTGAGTTTGACAACCCCGTGCTAAAGGAACCAGAGTAAATGCTGCTGTTTCAGAACTGTTATAAACAGGAATTCTGCCCAAATTTTGTCTACTTTTGTACTTCTGGTGAATGGAATATATGAGTAGTGGAGCTCTCATAGAAAACGTGGTTGATTGCAGTTTGTGTGCATAGCACATGCAGCTCACCTATCAATTTTTGTTACATGGCTGTTGTTGGATTTGGGGGGGGGGTGTTGCCTTCATTTCAGTATTGCTTCCTGGTGGCTTCCTGGGGTGCACACAATTATTTTTTTTTACATGTAGACAACAATGTATGTTATTTGTGCCCCTATCAGTGAACCCTTGAAAGCCTCATGGCAGCATGACAGAATGTGATTAATGTTGCTAGTTTCTGGGCAAGATTTATTTAATTTGTACATATTTAAATCTTGTATTTTACATTTTATATCATGTAGTATGCCTTATTTTAATTGTGATGCTTCTGACTGTGGGAAGCTTCTCCCCCTCCCCAAAATGAAATATTTTGGGGAATATTAAAAAAAGGCAGAATGTTATATTTCCCCAAAGGAGAAATGGAGAAACATGTTCTTGAAGGCAGAAAGCAGCCCCAGTCTTCCTGCCATAGGAACACAGCTTCAAGCAGCTTGAAGAGCTGGGTTTTTTGGAATGGAGACTGGGTCAATCTATTCATAAGCAAAGAGACTCCAAATAAACAACCCAATTAGGCGAGCTGACAAGATTAGCTCAGAAAAACACCTAGGATTTGCATTTCCCCTTTTGCCTGAAGAGCCAACCATGACCCCTACATGACCACATAGGAATCTGGCAACAGCCATTAAAATATTAAAGGATACATTCTTACATAGGAACAGGCATCTCTATGGCAAAGCCCCAAAGAGTGTATAAAAACCCAGCTATTCCAACCCCATTTTGTCAGCTACCCCAAAAACATGCTGCTGTCACTAAAGTTTCTGGCATCCAAATAAATAGAGACCTTCTCTCCTTGCAGCAGCATCCATTTTATTTCCAGCGTCTTTCTCCCAGCTTGGTGCCAGACCTGAATTTTCTTCCAACATGACACTAATAAACAAACTTAAATTCTGTGATTCAAATGATCATTCTGTGTATGTTCTTACTGGAGCCACGAGTATTTTAATCGACATTCCAAATCGTTTCCTTTAAAGGCTCTCCATCCACCCACATCTTTACCCCTACCCACTCCCCCTCTTCAGTTCCTCCCCAGGATCACAATCATCGTAACACCCAATAGGAAATCTTGTCATGAGCTGAGGGAGCTGGTGGGGAGGGGGCTTTTTCCATTGCTTCTTTGATGGCAAGTCGCTTTTGGCAGACTCTTCTATATCTGTACAAAAGTGTCACAGGAAGTGATAATGGTTTCCAATTGAGAGAAGGGACCTTCTTTTCATTCCCTCCCTCCCCGCTCCTCCTCCTCCTCCTCCTCCTTAAGCCTGAAAGATTTTATCTTGCTGGCATCTGAGGCAAAAGGAAGGAGTTGCTTTCACAAAGCATATCCGGTAAAGCAGTTGTAATCTGCATTCCCCCCAGTGAGGTGGTAGGGAAGCTACACAGACTGGAGGTACATGTTCTTCCTTGGATAGAGATCCGCCTCCTCCCTCCTTCTGTGTTCTTTCCAAACAATGTTGTAAAACAACGCTATGCGACAGAGGTTACTGAAGCTTGAACCCTGGGGAGGTGGGCGGGTTGGTGCTTTGTCCCCGTTTCTTCCCAAGTATATTTCATCAGTGGGGAGAAGGTTCCCAGGTATATCCCGGAACCATTTTAGTGCCTCCTTTTTTTAGTGCCTTCTTTTTCCTTTTGTTAGGTTAGTTGGGAAGAACAATTGAGCAATGCTGTGTGTTTTGGAAGGCAGAGACGCCATTATAATACCTGGATTCTTGAGGTATGGAGGGATTTTCTGGGTACCTTTATGAACAGTACTGTGGTTACTAGACTGCAGTGTGTAATTGGGGTTCTTTTTTCATCCATGGACTGCTGTGGCCCCTAGGAAGAGTTTTCCCTCCCCTAATTTCTTGGGACCAGAGATTAGTCTGCATTGCAGCCCTAATGCATTCTTTGAATGATTTCTATAAAACACTGTGCAAACCAATATTTTCATTTTCTGATCATTAAAACAACAGATATTCTTTTACTTGAATGGGCTTTTTGTGATTTAGGGATGATCCCTAATTTGTTTTATTTCATTAGTCCTACCTGCCTTTTAGTACAGTACTCCTGCACTTAGTCCTTTTTCTTTCTTTAAAATATAGAATTGCAATCAATGTGACTATTAAAAAGGATATTAGACATATTTTCAGAGACTGCATAGGATTTTGCAAACATAAGTGATGTGTGAGAAGCTCCAAGCAGTATAAATCACTCATTCACTCTGAGGAAGGGAGGGAGGGAGGGAGAGGGAAGGAGGGGAGAAGGCCACTCATGAGATATTGTTTTAGACCAGTGGTTCCCAAACTTGGCAACTTTAAGACTTGTGGACTTCAACTCCCCAGCTCTGGAGAATTCTGGGAGTTGAAGTCCACAAGTCTTAAAGTTGCCAAGTTTGGGAACCACTGTTTTAGACTGAGCTCAGCCATCAGTAATGTAGTCTCTCCTGGCTAGTACAAGCATTGAAAGAGGCAGTGATTGCATAGATCCAGGAGATCATCACTTCATCCTTGGTGAGGTTAATACTGCCAACCTTACATTAGGCAGGGCATGCTCCCTCCTCAAAAAGCTACCTNGACTATGTAATAGTATACATGTGATTATATGCTATGAAAATGGAAAATAATTTTTTTTTATGCCGAAACACAAACTTCGAATTTGGACTTGGAAAGATTGTGTCTTTAAAAGATTAATTGACAATTGAGAACTCTAGAAAGGAATAGAAGAAGGGGGGGGGTGAAACAAAAGTTTAAAACATACCAAGGAGACTTTCTGGGTTTGAGTTTGTTCTAATTAACATATTTTAAGCAGCTATTTTCTCCCTTATAATCTAATCTTGTCTGAGCAATGAATGGAATGTAAAACTTGGAAAGAAGATTTAATTAACCAACAGATATAAATCAGAATTTGGAAAAAGAAAGAGGGGGAGGAGAAACAAAAGTTAAAATCATACTTGCTTTGTGTGAGTTTGTCCAAGTTTGTTCTAATTAACATATTTTAAGCAACTCTAATGAATGAGAGGTGGAATGTAACAAGGGAAAAAAATCAAGAAGAAGCACTAGCCTGGATTTAAAACTGGATTTAAAAATATCAAGCTGTATTGTTGGAAACCACTGATGGAGCCATTTGCTGGAGGAAAGAACAAAGAACAAAGAAAGCAAAGTGATTAAGATGTCTCCCCCTTTTCTTACTCTCCATGTTAGCCAATAAGTTGGATCAGAATTGCGAAATAAGAAGAATCTTGGAAAATTTGGAACTTAAATTATAATTAACTGTATAACTAACTGTAATTTTGGCACTGGACTTTATGAAAAGGTGGGAATTTGAAGAATTACGTGAACTTATAAAAATACGCATAAATCATTAAAATTAAATTTAAACAGAATTTTGAAGTCAGAATCTGAGGAGAAGCAGGAAACGAAGGAAGAGGAGGAGGGTAGTGAAATGGTAGAAATGGTGGAAAATAATAAGCAGACAAAAGATTTCATTGAGTTTGACAGTGGCATAGGGAAAATTGAAGAGCGGGGATATGTCCTAATAAAGGGAAATAAAAAGAAGACAAAAGATTTCACTGGGCTTGACAGTGGCTTGGGGAAAATTGAAAAGTGTAGACATATCCCAACAAAGAAAAGGGAGGTGACAGGAATAGAGAATTGGGACAAAAGACTTGCTAGGGAAAAATCAGATATTTAGAAATTGTTATGTGGTGAATATAAAGCTGAGGTATGTGATTTACTCCTTTACATGATAATTAAACTGAGTTGCTAACTGATTGAACATAATAATGGAAAGATAATTAAATAAAGGTTAAAATATATGAAATAAGTAAGCCTCTGGAGCCTGGGGAGGGTGAAAAATATGTCCATCTGCAAAAATGGGAGGGGGTCATGTACGCATGCGTGTGGGGGGGTGTCACGAACATAGCAATATGGGTGTGGCATTCCAGCGCATGACCCCTCTGTGCTCCCCCCACTTTTGGCACACGATGGCAAAAAGGTTTGCCATCGCTGATCTAGGATGTATCTGGCTAGGCTAGATACAGAACACTGATTTGTGCAAAAGTGTTTTGGGAAGCAAAAATGATTTGGGAAAATCATACAACTATTGAAAAAGGAGTTGCAAAAAAAAAAGAATTTGGTACTGGACATGAGGGTAGTGAAGGGCATAGATTCATAAGGTAATATTAGATAACCATTAAATAAATGTCTGTATGAGGTTAAAAGGGGGGATGCAGTGGCTCAGTGGTTAAGACGCTGAGCTTGTCAATCAGAAAGGTTGACAGTTCNGGAACGGCGAAGGGCCCACACACCCGCCCTCCTTACCCGGTTTTAACGAGTTCTGCGCTTCCACGCATGCGCAGGACGCATACAGCGCCTGCGTGATCCTCCAGGAGCAGCTGGAGCATCGCACAGATGCTAGTACGCATGCGTGCACCGCGTGCGTGCACGAGGACGCCGCCGGGCCCGTTCCAACCGAACCGGTTGGAATGGGGCGAGAAACCCACCCCTGGCTTGCACCCACATATTTTTTCAGATTTTTTCAAACTCAATGTCAGGGTCAAGAAAAGATGGTTTGCAGGCCTGACACTCAAACCCTGTTCACTAGAAACATGCCATACCAGTAACAGCACATCAGAAGAAAAGATTTTATTTTTCTGAAAGAAAAAAGCAATATAAATATTAGAGTATAAAACTTGCGTGTTAACACATCAATATCAGTTACATGGATATAAGAAGGATATAAGCATATATATATAATATATAAGTATAGCTCAATATTAGACACATTGAAGGGACAAGTAAGTGTGTTTCAGTTCACATACAGTTAAAAGCACAATGAACACACATGAAGAAGATCCAAAAGAATATAAAATACTGATGTCCACTACTCAATTACTAAGATTAAACAAATAAAAAAACACACATCACTACTCACTACTACAGTATTTTCAGGTGTAGATGAAAAAATAAACAAGATTAACTAAGATTCATCTACAGTACTTTGGGAAAGGTCACATGTTAACTACTCAATTACATAAGAAGCTTTAGGCACAACCCAGCAGAGGTGTACCTGCACAAACTGCATTGAGATAAATGGGAGCTGTGTGACAGGAGGACTATTGTGCGCTCTCATTCATTTAAATGTGGCTCATGCTACAGAACATCCCACTAATTTGTTGTCTATTTCACTAACTATGTAAACTGTTTCTAGTGCAGTCACCAAAGAAAAAGTTGATGGAGAAGCGTTTGGGATCACTATAAAACCCATATGTAGACAAAAATGTCTTGTAGACAAATCCTACTTTCTAGACACAGGGAAAGTATCAAATAGTTCATAAAATGCTCTTAGCAGTGACAAAAACATAGCCAATCAGTTTGGGAGGCAACTTGGGAAACTTGTCATATGTTTAGACTGATCTGTTCTGACTATTTCAAGAAAGCTATTTATTACAAGGAAAAAAATGTTCTTGGACTAATGGTTCACCCTCCATGTTGGAAATATGCTCTTTTGATTCCTTATGGCTCTTTTGTTGCAATAAAAAAAACCATGAGATAGTACAGAAAACCTACAATATATCTAGAAAGACAACCAATGTTGCCAAGTAACATTACAATTTCCCACCTGACTCAGAGTGCCATTACTTTATCAAATGGGCCAGAGTTAGGAAACCTCATTTTTTGTCCATACTATGGAATGATGCAGTTAAAAGAGTAAATCCAACCATTTCAAAACATAGTAACACAAATTGCATTTTTAATATTTTAAGGTCTATTCATATCCAAGAAGAGGTAGTGGTAGGCCCCTCAAATTTCCTGATTGTATCAATACAACGTCATTTGTTTAATATTTATAAATTTCAGGAATAAAGTGATTGGCTTTGCAATTTGGCCAGTTCTACTCCAGTAAACATTAATTGGACTTGGTCCCTTAGCTTTCCCAAATCAGCCACTTTCTATTTAATATCAAATTCTGAAGACCAACAAACCAACCTTATTTTTTGGCTATACTGCACAGAGAAATGAAATACACAAGCTTCCCAATCTCTCTGAGGAAGGGCAATGCATCTTGTTTGTGAACTTTACTCACAGACAGTGCAGATGTGGGCACTTGAGAGCATATTAGCATGCTGTTCATGTCATGCAATAAATTTCCCAATTCAAGCTTGGGTGTGAAGTCAGCTGTTCTGTAAATGTGAAGTGATTTGCATGCAGTTTGATGTGCAGAAAAATGTGAAGCATTCTATTTTTAAGGTTCTACCTATAAGATCAGCAGAGTTTATCCAGTTAACAAAGACATCTCCCTCAGCAGTCAAGCAAAGATATGAGCAGTAGTTCACTATGCTCACAAGTGAATGACTTTTTTCTTTAACTTCTTCTAGAAAACATTTAGTATACATATACTATGATGAGATGAGTTGCCTCTTTAGAGATAACTGTAAATCAATCATGAATGGCAGTGTTCTCTGTCTTCCTTATATCTATGACATGTTCTGTGCATGAAAATTTTCTCATTGCAATACACTTTTTGCTTCTCAGAAATTACAATATCAGTTTATTTTTTTTTCCTGGACATTATTGGTTAAACTTGTAAAAAAGATAAATGTAGCTGAATCTCATACTCTTATAATAATACAGGATACACATTTCTTTTAAAATAAAGCAGGAATTAAAGCACTCCCTATCAATATCATAATAAGGATTCCAGCTGAAATGATGTCTAACCCTCCCCCCAAGAACTTCTATCAAAATTTGGAAAAGTGAGAATTTTTGTAAAAATGGAGGAACTTATATAAATAAAAAACTCTGTTCAGAATAATTATTTACAATGAGCAGAGCCCATCCTAAATTTTGTTGGTGATGTAGATCTTCAGGAAAGAAAATGTTTCAAAGATCTCTCACCTTTGCATATTACATTGTCCTCGAAAGAGTATACACTGTATTTGTTATTATTCAGATATTTTTCTTCATGAATAACAGCAGTACATCTACTCATAAACTTAGATGACAACAACAATGTACATTCACAATGTTCCATATTTTAAAAAAAGGTTTAACCACAAATTCACATTCATCTTCCATCCTAGACTATGAACTGGGGGAGTGCTGGAAGAGTCTGCCCTTTCGATTTACGTGGAAGTGGCTGTGTTATCCTGTGGATCCTACTTCTTCTCTTTCTTTCCTGACTTCTTCTTATTTCCTCCTCCAGAGGCTGCCGGTTTTCCATCACGTTTGTTAGTGGAATTGGAGAGGGTAGCAGTGCTCCCAGGGATATACACGTTCTGTCTATAATCAGGAACATGCTGAAGGGTGAATTGGGGGCCATACCTGGCGCTGAGCCCCATGGTACCTGCTGTTGCTCCTCCTCCCAGAGTAGAATTTCCATCTGGGTTAGCTGCAGCGGCGGCAGCAGCTTCTGCAAGAGTATTAGAACAGGAAGAGGGGAAATAAATAGGTTTTAAAGTAATATTTGAATGATGTCATGCATATGCAGATTAGACTGAAAAGAACATTTTCTCTTCCCTGCAATTGAAGAGGGATATGTTTTAGAAACGGTCAGATTATATAAGCCTGTCTAATTAAATTTCTAACATCTGCTTGAAACATGAAGAACAATTGCCTGAATTCCCTGAAAAAATCCTGTATTGTTAGTTCCTCTGGTGAGAGAAGTAACATATATATTGCCTCTCCAATAATTATGCACTCCAGTCTCTGGAGCTTCCAAATATATATATAGGGTTGACATAATCTGCACATATAGATTTACTGTTTAAAAAGATTAAAACAAAATCAACAAAATTAAAGCAACAACAACAATAACAACACCATCCAGATTTAATATTATACCCTGTTTTAAAACCTTGCAAAAATTTTGAACACCTTGAAAGATCTCTTCCTTCACCCTTTATTCAAAACAAAAACGTAATTCAAGCATTGAATTAAATGCAGATTTTTTTCCTTCAGTATTGTACAATAATTATTTTGGCTATCAACATTCATAAAATATCACAATGCTCAATGTCTTGATAAGTTTGAAATACTGTGGAATTCAGCTTGGCACAATCTATAAATCGTGAATCCACAACAATGGATCTGAAGTTCTGCTATTAATGCTAGACTTTCAACACCAAGTGCAGTAACAAGACATACCATGCGAAATAATGTTTTGGCTGCTGAAGTATATCTATAATATGTACCTAAACTCTCTCTGAGAAATCTGTTACACTTATGGTTGGTTGCACAGTCAGACAGAAAACACCAGACTGGATTTGGCTATCAAATTCTTCTCAAGGAGCTGGAGTAGACTGATATTGTTTGAGGATGTTAAAGATATCATTGCAGGATGTAATCTGTTCCACGTAAAACTGCTTTTTGCAATAGACTGATAGTGATTTTGTCAATGCTGATGGTGTTGAAATTTTGTAATTGCATCCAATTATCCAGACTTTTACCCAAACTTTTTTCTTTCTTGTCTTATTATTATTATTTAAATTTATATGCTGCTTGATTCACTTCATTTTAAGAGCAAAATAAACTAATTTCACATTCTTTAAAAATCCCTTCCACTGAAATATCAGAACAGAGTATTTGAGCACTGTATTTTTTATTATTCATGTTACAAATTCATTCAATATCTTGTTTCAGTTTATGGAATAGTTAACATACATACAGAGAACCAAATCATGAAACAAAGTTTATTAGAAAGCATGAAAAAGTTTATATCCAGAATTGATAAGTACTCCAAGAATGTAAAATAAGGAAACAGTACACAATGCAGGAATTAGCAAGTTCTGGTATCATATAAAGATAGTCCCTGACTTACATCATTTAGTGTTATAATGGCATTGAAAAAAGTGTCTTATGAATATTTTTCACACTTACAACATGGTCATGTGAGCAAAATTTAGATACTTGGCCAAATGACTCATATTTAGGATGGTTGTTGTGCCCCAAGGTCATGTGATCACTTTTTGTGACCTTCTGAGAAGCAAAGTGAATGGGGAAGCCATATTTATTTAACAACCATGTTACTAATTTAATAATTGTACTGATTTCACTTAACAACTGTGGCAAGAAAGGTTGCAAAATAGGGCAAAACTCACTTACCAAATGTCTTACTTAACAATAGCAATTTTGGGCTCCATATTAGTCATAAGGACTACCTGTACCAATTTATAACTTCTAAGCCTTAAATTTCAATATGCATAGTATTATCCATTTTACGGTGCAATTAAAGCACAAAGACTTCTCAGACTTACATATGGTTCCAAACCATCCAATCTCATTCTAGAATATATTTAATGTAATATTTTTTATAATATGCAGTGATTATTGATTAGTTTAACATAAGAGACACTTTAGCTTTCTTGCCATCAAACACAAATCTTTTGCAGTACATTTTATACTAAATTTAAAAGGTTGTGAAGAGGGATGGGAATAAGATAGATTATTTATGAAACCAACCATTTGCTGATGCTAAAATCATAGCCTGAAGCATTTCAGTATCAAACTGATTGTTTGGCCAAGTTCCGTTTTCATCTCCATTCTGAGATCTGAAAAGAAAGAAAGCAATAGAAATATATGAAAAGTACAATAGAAGCAAAATGAAAAAAATGTACATTTTTATTTATTGATTTTATGTATATGCTGCTTTGCTTTCCTCACATAATTTGTATCAAAGTTTATTCTTAATATTTATACAAAGACCACTCCCCAATAAGTAGATTAACTTCTCAGATATTAATATTACTTAAATGAACTAATTCACCAATACACATTAGTTCCTGGAAAAGTACGCAACTTCTACATTATGGAGTTTGTGAAATGAGCAGTTCTGTTATGTCTGTTCAGATTCAAAGTTCCAGTCTGATTTCCTTTAATGCAGTTTCATCATACTTTAAGTGGCTGTATCCTGGCAGCCATGCCAATTTGTTTTTTAAAACCACTGGTGCATGATTGCATAAAGAAATGCAATAGGGTAAGTGGGAGAACAGATTGGGAGTGACAGGCCCATTCATAAGTCAAACCTTTGCAATGAGACCCCTTCTGACTGAAGAGATGGGAGCCTATATTACCCTTTTATACCTGCAATTGTCAAGCCACCGATAGTTATTCCCCAACTTGTATTTGTGCATTTTATTTCTTTTTTCTCACTGAAGAAATTTTAATTTCATTCTATTATTTTCAGCTCATTTTTCTAAACTATCAAGATTCCTATAAAATTTGTTCAGTATTCTGGAGCAGTAGCTATCCCACCCAAATGCTTCACCTGCACATTTGTAAGAATTCCCTCATCTCTTTACAGAAGGGTTTAATAAATATGAGGATCTTAATATTTGTAGAATGAGGGGGCAACTCCACTAGGAAAGGATATATGAAATGCAATGGACCATCTGTCAGACTATAAACAGCCAGGTCCAAATAAAATACGTTGGGTTGGGAATGGTGAATGTGTGGATGCATGAGAGATGCCACGTAGGACAAGAAGAGTGGGCACATGTGGACAAGGGTCAGGGACCCTGCATGGGGGGAGGGGCAACATAAGTTAGGAAGGGTGCAAATGTCTATGACAAGTCAGGAAATTTGTGGAGGAATGATGTATGTTAGGTAGGGTGCCTGGTGTGTGAGAGTATATGAGATGTACTGTTCCAATCATGGATGATGCACAGGGGTAGTTAAGAGGATGTGCTTAAGAGATGCCATAAGGGGGAGCGTGTGAAAGGTGGTATAGACTGGGGAAAGTGCAGGGGAATCCCATCTCCCTGTTCCTCCCTCCACTCTCTATTCCTTCTTCTCGTTCCCTTCCCTGCAGGCAACTGCTGGGTGGAGCAGGGAACAAGAAATTGCAAGTCATTTAGAAGCTGTCAAAGAACATTCAAAATGAGCATGATGAGCACCACAGCAGCAGTCCAAGAGTACAGAAGCAATCACAGCTTCCCCAAATTCCATTGCCTTGTAATTCGTGGGTCCTGGATTCTGGACACACTCTGTAAGTTCAGACCATTTAGCAATACCATTTAGACTAATAAGCCACTTTACAGGGCTTTACAGCACTCTCTAAGCGGTTTACGGAGTCAGCCTATTGCCCTCAACAATTTGGGTCCTCATTTTACCCACCTCGGAAGGATGGAAGGCTGAGTCAACCTTGAGCCTGGTAAGATTTGAACTGCCAAATTGCAGGCAACCAGCAGTCAGCAGAAGTAGCCTGCAGTACTGGACTCTAAACACTGGGTCACCGCGGCTCATTCAAGGTACTTTCCTTCAAAAATTGTTGCCCTATGATGCACTGTTTTTCCCAATTAAAGGCTATGGGAATAAGAGTTTAGATAGATGATGATGAGCTAGCTAGGCAGGCAGGCAGATGTTTTTTCCCTGAAGAAACGTTATAATGAATAAGAAGTTACTATAAGAACTACAACAGGAGAAACAGTTCTTTTGTGATTCGAGTTGTGAGCTGCCCTGAGTTCCATTCGAGGGAAAAGGGCGGCATATAAATTTAATAAATTGAATTGAATTGAATTGAATTATTTTGGAACTGAGGCAAGGATAATATAATACTGTCAGCACATACCTGTTTCACTTATGCATTCAGAAAGTATTCAGACCCCTTTCACTTTTGTCAATTTTGTTATGCTGCTGCCAGATTCTACATTTGTTGAAATTCTTTTTTTTTCTCATTAATCTACAGTTGCTATCCCAGAATGACAATGTGAAAACAGAAATTTGGAAATGTCTGTAAATTTATTTTAAAAAATGAACTATCACATTGGCATAAGTATTAAGACCCTTCACTCAGTACTTTGTTGAAGAACCTTTGGCAGCAATTACAGCCTAGAATCTTTTTGAGTATTATGTGACAAGTTTTGCACCCCTGGATTGAGGGATTTTCTGCCATTCTTACTTGCAAATCCTCACAAGCTCAGTCAGGTTGGATGGTGACTGTTGTTAGACAGTCATTTTCAGGTCCCTCCAGAGATGTTCAATAGGGTTCAAGTCAGTGCTCTGGCTGGGCCACCCTAGGACATTCACAGAATTGTCCCTAGGCTACTCCTATGTTGTCATGGATGTGTGATTAGATCGTTGTCATGTTGGAAAATGAACCTTTGGCCAGTCTGAGGTCCTGAGTAGTGTGAAACAAGTTTTCATTGGGGAAATCCCTGTACTTTGGTCCATTCAGCTTTCCCTCAACCCTGACCAGTCTCCCGATCCCTGCTGCTGAAAAACATTTCCATAATATGACGCTGCTGCCACCACCATATTTCACTGTTGGGATATAGCGTCACATATAGAATGAGTGAAACCAGGTTTAATAGCAGTAATTATGAGAAGGATCTTGGAGTCTTAGTGGACAACCAGCTTAATATGAGCCAACTGTGCAGTGGCAGCCAAAAAAGCCAATGCAATCCCAAATTGCATTAACAGAGGGACACAATCAAGATCAAGTGAGGTACTACTAATACCACTCTATAAAGCCTTAGTAAAACCACATCTGGAATATTGCATCCAGTTTTGATCAGCGCACTATAAAAAAGATGTTGAGACTCTAGAAAAAGTGCAGAGAAGAGCAACCAGGATGAATAGGGGACTGGAGACTAAAACATATGAAGAACGGTCACAGGAACTGGGCATGGCTAGTCTAGTGAAGAAAAGGACCAAGGGATACATGAGATCAGTGTTCCAATATCTGAGGGGCTGCCACAGAGAGGAAGGGATGAAGCTATTTTCCAAGGCACCCAAAGGCCACACAAGGAATAATGGATGGAAACTGATCAAGGAGAGATTTAACCTAGAAATAAAGATATTTTTTCTGACAGTGAGAACAATCAACCAATGGAACATCTTGCCTTTGGAAGTTGTTAGAGCTTCATCACTGGAGGCTTTCAAGAAGAGACTGGACTGCCATCTGTCAGAAATAGTGTAGGGTCTCCTGCTTGGGCAGGGGGTTGGACTAGATGACCTATAAGGTCCCTTCCAACTCTGTTAATCTGTAATCTGTAATCTGGATGATATTGGGCAGCTGATGAATGGTGCCTGGTTTCCTCCAGACATAACATTTAGAATTGAGGCCAAACAGTTGAATTTTGGTTTCATTAGACTAGAGAATCTTGTTCCTCACAGTCTGAGAGTCTTTCTGGTACTTTTTTGCAAACAGACTNTTTTGGAAAAAAATATTCCACAATACCATAAGTTTTCAGTCTTTCACTCTAGGTATTTCCTTAGTCACCATTTCCTAATTCCTTGTTTAGTGTGGTTAACTTCTGACCTACTTTTTCTCTTTTCGTCTCTGTTTGTTCTACCTTTGTTTCTACTTTTTGAATTTTTTGTTCATTTTTTGTTATCTCACTTTGTATTTTCCCTATTTTGTCATCTATTCTTCTAATCTCACCTTTCATTTCTTCCATCTCTGTTTTAATTTCTTCATGGTTTTTTCTGTTCTTTTCATGATTTTTTGTAATTGTTTCTTGCATTTTCATCATTGTTTCATGTATCATTATTAATGTTGCTTGCATGTACTGAAGGTTTGTTGTTGAACTTGCTTTCTCAATGCCTAGTGTACTCTCAATTGTACGCTGGTTTGAGGGCGAGGATGTTGCTGATGCCGGCTTGGATGCTGCTTTCTTATTCCTTTTACTAATCGCTGTTGTACTTGTCATTTTTATCTTCTGTACAATTTTTCCCCAGCATATGATATAGCATATATTTCTCCCCACCTACTACTTATTTCCACCCTCTTACCAGCTCCTTTAATCTCTAGACTTTCCCTCTTCCATATACAATTCAATCCAACAACTTAATTTCTATATATCAGGATTTGCATGCAAATCTATCTAAATCAGTATCTATCTAAATCAATATATGTAAGTCAGTATGTATGTCTACTATAATATGTATTTTTTTTCAAGATATTATTATATATCTACTAAATAGCAACCAAGCAAAACTTAATAATCCTTGCCTATATCCTAAACCATATATTGGCTATTCACAACAATCTCTCTTATATCTAATTCAATATTCAATATTTAACACTGATCCCCCTTCCCCCCCAATCTGTATTCTAATAGTTCTTATATTCTCAAAATGTTCAATATATTTAAACTAACAAATTTTTAATTTTTAATTCATATATAATCATATATCATCACTTGATAATTGCAAAATATCACTAATAGTTCATATATCATCTACCCTCTATCTTCCAATACAATACGATTCAATACAGTTCATCAATATTTCATCTCACCACAATTCAGTCTATTTTATATTCCTTCTTTCAATATTCTCTTTCACTTTAGTTTTTTTTAATCCAGGTTCAGAAATCACAAAGTTACTCTTGTTACTCTTGTCATTCTTTCAGCAGGTAGCATCAGCCATTTATCCAGTCTTGTTGCTTAGTTCTTATTTTCTCTCTTCACTAGATGGCACTATCCTTCGTTTAAACTCTTTTTCCCCTCCATCAGAAGTCCAATCTTTGTTGTGTCTTATACCCAAATTTGTCCCAAATATTCCAAATATACTTCTCTCACCATCTTCACTGCTGTTGCTGTCTCGT